TAAATACTTTCCCAAGGAAGTAGAGAAATGCTAGACAAGTGAAGACAGCTACTCAACAGTACAATTCCAAGCCATCCCATCGTTGTGGATACCAGACACCTTTTGCTTGAGTGCTGAGCTGTAAGAACATTAGCAGTACTGTACCTCTGGTACATCAGCAGAGGTTAGGAAATACTAGTTCATCACTGGCAAAACCCCATAGTTCCCATGCACCTTCAAGGTAGCAGGACAGATGAGTCAAAGTACACCGGCCTTACCACCACCCACAGCTTCAGTTCCCCTGTCAGAACAGCGTTCTGTGCAGTGGTTCCATGTGCCTTGGTTTCTCCCTGAGTACTATTAACACCAAAACGCGACTGCAGGAGGGAGTCAGGGAAGCTTTAAAACACAAAGGTTCCTTTTCCAAGCACGTTACAACACAGGCTTCAGCAGATGTTCATTTCCTACTCTGTGCTAGGAATCCAACTTCAAAATAAAACCCAAAATGCCATTTACGCAGTCCTTACACAGCGTATCTTTGCAGTGCTTCCAGAAGGACAGGCCAACATACTTATACCTCAGCAAGCAGTAATTTAATGGAAGATTTAACTTCTCCAGATCTCAGCTGGGCAGAAGCCTTACTGTTTCCAAACACAAAGCCCAAAACCAGGGATGGTTCTGAAGACGCAAACACAGTTAAGCCTTGTGCCACGGAGGCAAAGCGCCTGCGGTCGTTTCATGTAACTCTACGCTAAGGATTGTTTAAAGCTTCCCAAGCAGAGCCACGCCAAGACTTTAGCACCTACCAAAGGTTTTAAGAGTGATCAGCAACACTGTATTACAGAAAAAAAGTGTCTTTATTAGCATTGTTACAGGCAATGCATACATAAGAACTGATCCTTAGAGTGTACAACCCCCAGCCAAGTTTAAAGCAAGAGAATCAGCAGATTGAGATCTATATTGTACACATGTGCAGTCACAGGATCTCTCTGGACCTTCCAACTGAAGAGACTGAAATCACTTTACAAAAAAAAAAAAAAAGAGGTAAATAAAAATAACACCCATTTTAAAAAAGTGCCAGCTGCTAACACGCTGGCAGAGCATCAAAAATATCAAGTGGGGGAGTTGTCCAACCATAGAGTTCCTGTAAGGTTCGAGTATTGCCTTGTTCACACCCTGCATATGCCAGGCATTGAGTTTAAAGCTTAGTAAAAAATACACACCTAAGAGACGAGGCAGAGTTCAGATTTTCAATTTCAATTCTGTCAGTTGTTACTACATTTCTTTAAATGCATCATCAGTGTAATTAACGTTGTCGCTGGATGGCAGCGGTACAAAGAAGGAACCTTTTCCCTTTTGTTAAGAGTTCTGAAACTGAGTCAGTGTGAATTAGCAACATCCCTCTCTGGCACCTTTAGCTGACATGACCTTACGCCAATTCCAAAAAAAAAAAAAAAAATATCACCACCCTTCAAAACTTTTAGCTTGTTTCTAAGTGGGTAAATATTTCAACTAGTTAGCAAAATTAAACACCAGAATTTTCAGAAGTTATTTTTGTGCATAGTTAAATGCTGCAAGATGATTTCACATTTAATAAAGCAGACTTGAAGAAGCAGCAATTTGCAAGAAAAGGTGTTCCCTTACAATATCAATCTTAGCTCAGGGGAAATGTGTGTGTGTGGGTTTTCCCAGCTTCTTGCAATTGCTTTTCATCTACACTGGGGTTTAGTGCAAGTCATTAAATTGTTTGATACCCAGCATGGCTCCTCTTTCTGCCAATCAAGTAAGCAATCAAGACAATTAGAACAAGACCAGCGAGGGCTGCACCAACTATTATAGGGATCAGCATGTTATTTTCATCCAGCTGACATTCTTCCACTAGAGAGAGAGAGAGAGAGAGAAAGAAAGGTCCATGTCAGGCACTAGCACACCAGCATGTGGCTACATCCACAACCCAAGCTTCTTACTCTCAGCATACACGTAAAACTGGCTCAAGGTAACTTCTGGCTTGGCTTGCCAACAACCAAAAGGAAGCCAAGCCCACCGAGCATGATCCTGCAGGATGAAGTCTTTCTAGTTCTAGCTGTGTGCACAGTACAGAGGTTTATAGTAACCGTTTCCTTCTCAAGAGCTGCTGCTGCTGCGCACAGGCTCAGCCATCACAAACGCACCCGTGCGTCTCCTCCCCCAGCCGGTTTGCTTTAGCCACAGAGGACAGTGTTAACCAAGGGGGTCAGGAATGTCCCAGAACTCAGTCCCTTTCACACAACTGTCGGCGCACAGCTAGGTGGGAAAGTTAACACCACTCTTCCTTAACTCTTCCCTGGCCCCCATGGAAGAAGCCCGAGCTATTTCAAAGCATTCTACGTTTCTCGCGCTAGCCCCCGCGCCACCCGTGATGGGGCGTGCAGAGGCAAGGCGTGGCACCCACAAGCTGACGTCTGGCTACAGATTATTACACGTTTCTACCAAAGTGCACTTCACAGATCTTCAGTTCCCCTTCCCCGCAAAATACAAACCTCTTACCTGCCCCAAATTTGTCTCCATCGATCTTGAAAACCTGGACCTGAACGTTAAATACGTTGACAAGGGCTTTGTCCGTGACCTGGAGATTCTCCTCCGCGCTGCACTTGTAGGAGTTCCCTACTGAAGCTCTCAGCTCACTCATGCTGTTGTTCGACGCTTCAAAATTTGGAACTGTGTAAGAGAAACTCCTATTACAGATTCCTGAGGAGCAGGAGCTGTAAGCTCAGAGAGTTTAAGCTCAATGCGTTCATCCCCAACCTTTCTAACATGTTATTTAATGTAGCCAGCCTTTCATATTTACAGCGGTCACTGAAAGTAGGCTTCTTAAAAGCCCCTACCTTTTGCTTCAGAAGGCAGGGTCGTGCTTACATTCACACCTTGCAGGAAGAATTTTTCAGTACTTGCATTCTTTAAAAAAGAAAAAGATAACAACAAACCAGTAGTTGCCATTTAAGCTAATGATGCACAGTGTAAGATGTTAACATTCCGGGTCAATTCTACATGCATTTGACCTCCACACTGGAGGTACAGTCCCACCCAGGCCTTAACCAGGCTAGAACAGTCTCACGTGCGCTACAGACACAGCTTTAAAGCAAGTCCACATAAATTGGAGAGTCATGTAATAGCAGCAGGTCTAGATGATTGCATCTGACCAATCCCACAAGTACCAAAACCAGCGTGAAGCTAACACAGCAGATTCAGCCCTTAAAGGGATGCAGGTCTCATACAGCACTGGGGCAGGGCTGTGGGAAAGCCCTGATTCCAATGATTTCAAACCACCATAGGAGTCTGTAAGACAAGCACATGCGGCTCTTGGGCTGTACACAGAATATTAATGAGGACTTAAATCCAGTTCCAGGCTTGTACAATTACATGAGACACCTGTTTGTCACAGCCTATTCCTCTGCTACAGCAGAGCTGCTCCCAGACTGGGCGAGAAGCTTTAGAGAGTAGGCAGCATCATCTTAAAAGAAATTCCCATTCCCAACAAAGTAAGGTCTGTCAGTACATACGCATGTGTATATACATATACATATCCTCACAACAGTTACCAAGTATCAAACCCTCTAAGTCCTAGCGTTGAAAACTCTAATTACTCACTCCCCTTCCCATTGTTGTATCTTGTACGATCTCTTGTATTTGCCCCAATCAGTTTCCCCTACACAAGAAGCCCTGCAGACCCTACGCACTTCGTCTAGATTCTTACCAGCGCGAAGCGGAAGACAACCCTTGTTTTCTCAAAGGTCAGATTCAAGAAGGCAGACGTACTGTCGCACGTCCCAGAAAAAGTTGTATTGCGTGGTACGAAATTCAGCAAATCCAATCCCATCTACGAGAGAAGAGGGTCAGTTACAACATTTGAAGAGACTCCTACAACACCGTGGGCTCAGCTGGCTTCCAGCTCTCCCGTACTCACAGGCACACAGCGCTGTGCTTGCCCACACGGTTTATAGGCAACCGGGGCAGGTACGTGTGCAAGTTACAGGCTGGTGTAAGCTGCACCTGCGCTACCAGGCTGGCACAGAGAACAAAGGGCATCTCTGCACGCCCAGCAAAGCTTTCTGCAGCCCTGACTGGCTGCGGCCAGTAACCCGTTGCTTTCTCCACGCTAAAATTCTTTGTTCCCAGGAGCGTAAGGAAAAGCACGAGTAACCACCGCTGCACAGGGCCAGCAAGCTGCAAAATGCTGCTTTGACATAATTGAAGGAACTGCCCGTAAGCACGATCGGCCTGCAGGTCACTTCAATTCAAAAAGCTTTAGCTTTGCCCACAGTACCTGATTTTACCCTGTCCTGTACCTGCAGAGGGCCCTGGGTTAAACGCACTTGCCGAAAAATCCAGCAGAAACCTTCAGAATCATGAGCGGTTTGGGTTGGAAGGGACCTTAAAGACCATCCAGTTCTAACCCCCCTGCCATGGGCAGGGACACCTTCCACTAGACCAGGTTACTCAAAGCCTCATCCAGCCTGGCCTTGAACACTTCCAGGGATGGGGCATCCACAGCTTCTCTGGGCAACCTGTTCCAGTGCCTCACCACCCTCTCCGTGAAGAACTTCTTCCTGATATCCAACCTAAACCTCCCCACTTTCAATTTAAACCCATTACCCCTTGTCCTGTCACTACAGGCCCTTGTAAAAAGTCCCCCCCAGCTTCCTTGTAGCCCCTTCAGGCACTGGTAGCCTTAGGTTTTCCAAAGTCACAGGAGGGTCAGCTATTTGCTACCTCCTCACTGATCATTACTTACCCTAGAAATCAGCTCTTCCAGCAGAGCTAGAGTGCCATGCTCCAGGACACAGCTTAGGGAATTTCACCCAATTAAGGTGGGTAAAACACAGTCCTACCCAGTCACCGTACAGCCACACGCCAGCTCTCGGCGCTCATGGTTTTACCTCAATCACTGTCATCATAAATAAACGCAAGAGATTCCTCTGCGCCACTACATACAGCATTAGACAGCCAAATCCCACGCAGATACCACCCTCCTCACACCAGGATCTCGATCACAGAGATCCAACTTAAACTACACGGAAGCAGCCCTGCCCTTGTCCTCATTACCTCAGATTAAGCCACAGGATAGAAAAGAGCAGCTTGTGATCAAAGGTCCCCATAAACAAAGCTTTCCGGCACCTATAGGTTCACTGGACCTTGGTCACTGTTTCCCACTGAGAGACTCCAGCAGTCCCTTTGGAATTACGCTCACAGCTTTGCCTTGCTGGTCAGCGGGTCTGTCCATGGGGCTGGCAAGCTGGGTTTTACATCAACAATGGAGGGGAAGAACCTCTGCTGGGGCTGGATCTTGCATAAACCACACAGGATTTTTGCTGTCAGAATCAGCCATTAAGTAGCTCTTCGGCATTAAAGTCAAAGCCAAGCCTCTTTTCACTGCTGCTGTGGAAGGGCCATATACACTTAGGGGATTTGTCAGACAAGTTCCATACTCTTACTGAATGGAATACATCTTTTATGACCGCTTCCAGTAGAAGAGAAGTCTTTGAATTGTCACAAGTCTAGTCCGAGTTAAGCAATTCAAACAGAGGACAAATCATGGATGAACAAACCAAAGAATCGGGATTTTTAAAGGAAAAAAAACCCTGCTTATAATACTTTACCAAGTTTTCCCCAAAGAAGGAATCTGAAGGCTTTGAGGAAAGAAAACAAACCCGATACCTTTCCATCTTTTTTCATGTAGGTGATGTTCAGCTGTAACCCCATGTAGGCAAGTACACAGGTTCCGTTTGGACCGGTCACGTTGTATTTACCAACTGCAGGGTTTGGGGGCAATGCAGTTGGTGCTGGGCTAGCTGTGGGAACCTGGCTAGTGGTCTGTTTGGGAGTCGTAGGCACTAAAGCAGTAGTAGAGACCATATCTTCAGCACATTCTGTCTCTGGAGAGAAAGGAGAACAGTCATTACCAAACAAAACGGAGCTGTGGGGTGTTCTACCTTTTTGACCCTCAAGGGAGAGGAGGATGCAGTTCCAAGCGGCTTTTCCTAATACACGGTAATAAAAGTTGAGAAACAATGGTAAAGCATTGCCTAAACTCTCATTGCCACATGAGACACCGCCTGGGATGTGAAAATGCCACCTCTGCGGTTATCTACAGACGTTCATGGTGACAGCACCTGCTTTTATTCACATCTGTCCTTGCACCTCGCCACCGAGTCAGGATAAATAAGATTCCTGCTACACTGACCGAGCCCATGTTCCTGCTGTACGTTCACAGCAAGGCTGTGGCGACTCCCCCGTCAAATGCTCCGGGCACTCGTGTGCCAGAATCAGAATAACAGCTTTCCTGCCTGCTGTTAAAAGTGGTCTCCTGGGAGATGGGGTGTTCCCCTCCCTCCGTTACACTACAAGGTTGAGGACCCTGTGTCCTTTATTTTGGCAATACCCACAGTAACATTAGAATCTTACTGGACCTCCCAAAGTCCTCACAGCAGTGCTGTGGCTTTTCTACCAACAAAGGGATTCCAGGACACCCCTTCCAATGGCAAATGTTTTGCTATATCCTCTCCCTTGGGGTCTCAGGTCTATCCTTCCCTTTAGTCCTGCAACAGTGGCCACCCCAAGGCTGAATGAAGGTGTGCGAGACTGCCTTCTCTCTCCATCCCGTGCAGCAGCGACTTCCAAGGCAAAAGGAGGGAGAAGCAGCAGTGACTGACTTACTTGGCGGAATACTCCAGAACACCTGGCAGGAAGATCTTAACCTGATCAGGGAGGGAAGTTAAGCAGGTTCCTGCACTGAACATCTAAGCCAAAACCAAAGGTCACAGCAAAGGCAGGACTGTGGTAGAAGCTTCTGTGTTCCAAGCCAAGGTCACCTCCACGTGTCAGGAATAACAGGTGACAACTTTATAAGGACAACAGCAACTGCAGTAGCAGTCAATTCTGACTCAAAAGGCCTACTTCTAAAATTTAATCCATACCTATCTTGCAGACACTAGATACCAAATAAACAGCCTCTGAACTGGAAGAGCAACTTAGCATTTGATTATGGCTCCGAAAGAGAATCACACCTCCTGAACTGCACCGCCTGCAACGTAACAAGTTTTCATGTTTCTACTCTGTTTCTGAAAAGTTAGGTAGTATAGGGAAGGTGGGCGAATGGTCTCTTGTAGACTTAAGAGATACTGGCCAGATCCCAAAATGCATTAATTTCCTAACAAATAATACCTACAGCATCTTTTCTTGATACTTCAGCGGAGTGTTTCCCTCCGTCCACAAGATGCAACACACACAGCCTCTTAAGTTAGCAGAGATTATAGAATCATCAGAGAATGGTTTGGGTTGGAAGGGACCTTAAAGACTATCCAGTTCCAACCCCCCTGCCCTGGGGGTTGGAACTGGCTTTGAACACTTCCAGGGAT